AAGCAGCGTTCTCATCAGTCGATTTTAGTTGATCTTAAATCGAAACGAATATTTGTTCACACACATAATAAAAATTGATGCGTTAGTTGTTTCTAAAATGGCTGCCAACGAAGTTGTCCAAGCAGGCACAGCAGCTATTTACGAATTATTAGATGAAGAAATCAGAGACATTTTGTCAAAATTTGACAGCAAATCTAGAAAACGTCGGTTTTGGGTCAGGACTTGGATATTGGGAAGAGATAAATTGGGCGTTTCAGGAACCCTGCTCAAGGAGCTGGCTCTAGAGGACAAGGATGCCTACAAAAATCATTTGTGAATGTCCGAAGAACAATTTCAAGGACTTCTTCTAAAGATGAAAAGCAAAATACAAAAACAAGATGCCATTATATGAAGATCTATCAGCGCAAGTACATGATAGTTAAATCGTTGTCTCGAGCATCCTTGTTTCGATAACTCTCGATCAGGGTATTCCATAAACAGTCATGCTGTTGATATAAATCCAAAGAATGTAACACAATACTTTCAGACCACTTCATGCTCATGTTTTGACTTTTTTTCCACACACAACAAGCACACGAGTCGAAGAATCAACTTTATTCAATGCGAAACTCGACTGACTACAGTTCACACGCTTCAAATCCGTTTCAACTTATGTGAAAATCGCCTATGACGCATTAAATTGATCGATAAGTTTTGAATGGATCAAAGTTTTTCGGTTCAACTAAAATTGATCAACTAAAATCGAAAACACGGTTCACAAGTATATTTTTATTCCATTTTTGTTGATCAATAAAAATCGTTCTACTAAAATCGACTCGTGAGAACGCTGCTTTACGTTAGTCCACGAGTGAGATATGGATAACGTTTCTTTGTTGCCAATTTCTATGGCGACACATCATGGCTAATAGTATTTTTTTTTAAATTGGGCGATACTCATTCATTTTATGAAATTAGATGTCAGTCAGATAGCCTATTGGGCAACGACAAGACTCGGACTTCCACAAATCATAAGAGTACCTGCGTAATAGAAGTAGTGATACAAAATTTTAACAACAGCAATCGACATTATTTGGTGGATTACAGTTGCTTGCCCACATAATTAGGAAGAAGTATATTTTAGCCACTTTATACAAAATCAAGTTCTGGGGTTTGGTTAGGTAACTTTTCTGTAGCACTAGCACATATCTCTTAAACCAGATATTATCAGGTATCTCGTGTAAGGTTCAACCACAGGCTACACTGCTATGAGGGTGACGTACTCCTTTTTTAAGAACATGGTAGCCAATTCGTAGCACATACGGGTATTTGAATTGAAAATCCGGATAAAAGTCGATTTTGCAGAATAGGTCGTATCGCAAAACTGGTATGTGTCTAAGATGCCGGAACAGATGCTAGAAAAAGCCTCACACTTTTCTGTTTACCGGCTGCTATTTCTCGCCTGTAGTCGGGGTGCGAATTTGATCATTCTTCATTGCTCACGTATCTGTTCTCAGCGTGTTTATTGTGGCCACAATATTTCAAAGCTTTTAAAAGTTATTGCGAATCGTGTACCAGTTTTTCAGCATGGACGTTTCTGATGCAGGTATGTACAATCTGTTTTGTCAATTTTTAATGTAATATTATCTGATTAATTAGAAAAAATTACGTTTCCGCGAAATCTATGTGTTGAGAGGTTAGGTCGCCGCCTTGTGGGGTGAGATGAAGAACAGACTTTGTTGCTTGCTGCGTTGAATTCTTGGAGTTTTATTGTTGTGCACAATTGCAGTCTGTATTAGACGTTTTACAATATCACTCTTTTACGTTAATATTCAAATTTTACAATTATTTAGACAGTTTTTGTCGTGCTGAGAAAAAAAACGTGTGGACTGTATCTTGTTCTCTCAACTCTCTCTCGACGTTGCCCCGTTGAGCCGATGGTTCGGGATTCGCGGAAACACTATGTTCCAATCATTTTTACCTTTGATAGTAATTAAACTCGAATTGTTTTGATGAATTTCTGGATGTATTCCGGTTATGATTTTAGCCTCATATTATATAAATAGATCTTGGCTAATCATATCGACAGAAACTCTTTCAAACTTCATAGAAATTTCAGTATAATCGCCAAATAAAAGATGAACGTTCGTTTAAGCCATTTCCTTTCTTTCTTTATAGGGCCCTCTGGAGTCAAGATCATTGCTCGAAAAAATGTTTACGACATTATGCAAGTGTATCCCAATAACGACATTAACCAAAAATTGGACTATGCTGAATCTTTTTTGTTGAACTCTCAAAATTATTCAGAGGTACAACGAAACGAAGTTAAACACAAATTGTCAAATCTAAAATCAGAAATAAAACGTAGATGGATTGCCGCACATTACATAGAAGATCTTTTCGTTAAAAGAAATAATCATTGGCTCCAAATGACATTTGAAATACCACGAACAAAATCATGACCAGGACACCCAAAGAAATCTTTTAGTAATATTAACGTAATATTGCATTCCGCGGTGGATTAAGCTCTGAAGAGTTGACTTTTGTCACTCATACGAAGTTACGTTCTAAGGGCAAGACTGAAGATTCAAAGGTGATAAAAGACCTAATGCAATTTTCAGCACGAGCAAAAAAATATCGAAAAGCGTTCATTCAATCTCAAAATGACGGACAGCTAGCAACCGTATTAACCGCAATGAAAGCATTGTCTATGTTTGTCGAAACTGGCCTGACAAGAAGACAGTATGATACAATTAGAAGTTTCAACAAGAAACTCTGCACATGCTATACGACCTTACAAAAGGCTAAGAAAGACTGTTATCCTGTACAAGAATCTTATAAAATCACTGATTTGTTAGATCATACTACTTGGCGGCTTTTATTGCATTTGACAGATGTTCCCCAGAATTTAAATAGTGAAGAAAGAAACACGCTAATGTTGACATATAAATGAGGATGTGATGGATCACAGCAGACAGTTTGAAAATAACTTCGATTCTGATGCAGATATATTCCAAAGTTCATTTGCCCCGTTACAGTTGTCTTCTAGCGATGGCACTAAGATAATATGGCGATACCCGTTGCCTTCTTCGCCACGATTCTGCCGATTCATTCACACAAGATTTGTGAAGGAAACCGTAGATACCACACACGAGGAAATAAATTATATAGAAAACAAAATAAAGTATTTGGAACCGATACAGGTCGCGCAATTAAACAAAAGCTTTCTAGTAAAACATGTGATGATGCTCACAATGGTTGATGCGAAAGTGTGTAATGCCGCAACCAACACAAAATCCACGATGAAATGCTATATTTGCGGTGCTACATCCAAAGACTTCAACGATTTATCAAACAAGCGTCCTTAAAATTCGACTTATGAATTTTGCATGCCAGAATAAGGTTTGGAGGAGTGCTTCATATTGCGTACAAATTGCCAGTGAAGAAATGGTAATTCAGAAACGAAAAAGATAAACAAATTGTTCAACAAAGGAGATTGGAGATACAAAAGGAATTTAGATCCCAAATGGATCTTATAGTTGATGTTCCAAATGCTTGTTTCGGAAACAGCAATGGTGGGAATACCAGTAGGAGATTTTTTACCGATCATTAGCTATCAGCAACAACAACCGGCATATCTTGAAGTAATTTTAGAAGCGATATCAAGCGACCATAGAATAGACAAACCGAAATTTGAAATATTTTGTTTGGACACGGCACAACTGTACGTTGAATTATATTTGTGGCATCCACTGACACCAACTCTTCACAAAAAACTGCTCCATCGACCCGTTGTCAATGAAAAAACTTTATTGTCTATAGGAATGATGTCAGAAGAGACTGCAGAGGCTCGCAATAAACACATTCGGTTATACCGCCAAAATTATGCTTGGAAGTTCAGCAGGGAGTCTTGCAATCTTGATATCATAAATAGATTATTATTGAGCTCAGATCCCCTGATAACTGGCATGAGATCTACTCGCAGAAAAATTACAAAACCATTTCTCGAGGAAACTGTTGAAATGCTCCTGTCTGAAGAACCGATGGGCCAGTCTAATTTGTCTGGTGATAATGATGATGATGATGAAGACTCAGCACCAGAGGTAGGAGATTATTAAGATGATTTTTGGTTGTCATCTTCTTAATAACATCTTTTATTCTTTTTTAATAAATATTTTCACGTTTTTCAACTATAAGCATTTTATTTCTTTACCTGCTGTTCTTAGTAGCAATATTAACCATAACAGCTTCTGAAGTAACTCAGAATGCAAAAAAGTTTTGTCTGGATTTTTTATCGAAATACACGTATGTGCATCGTAAAATAAACAGAAATTATAACATACATATTATGGTTTGATACGGCCAGACAATGCAGTCCTATGATCATGAAAACCATAGGACAATTTTCATGAGTTACATTATAAACCGCTTCCTTTCACATATTTTGGCTGGAAAATTATATGCTCCCGATGTGCGATGCTTTAGCCTCACATACCCAAGCTTCAAATTTGTGATTATTTTCCATATCCGCCTAGATGCTCAATACTTGGGAAGACCTTCATATTTCAATTCACAAAATGTAAATGAGCTTCGAAACACCTGACTGTTCGACAAGTATCATATTGTTCAAATACCCTGATAATCTTTTATCTCATATTTGTATTGCATTGCATAACACGTTTGTTTCCAAGTACAGCAAAGGTCAAGCACTTCGACACCTGCATTGTGTTTCTGAATACCTTTGGATATGCTTAATTCGATTCCGATGTCACAATACCGAAATACCCTCAGATCGTTGTGGTTTCCTGCTTTTGCGGAAATCGTTTAAAAATACGTTTTTATCACTAGTAAATGAAGATGCTGAGTTATTTGCTTACAGCTGATAAGAGCTTCCTTCCATCGAGTCAGTTCCTCTAAATAAAATCTTGTATTTATATATAGTACAGAAATGGGGGTTAGCCTTGAGACGATGTCGTTGAGGTCTGAATGGCCTGAAAGTTCTTATTTAAGATCAAATCTTGAATATAAGATAGAATCTTGGTAGAGTCTAAATGGATATTAAGCTGAATTATGATACGGTTGCTTTTGCAGTGTAAGACAAACTGTATACTCATTGAATCTTTAGGTCTCCGCAATTCCGATTGACCCTCAATCTCAGACTTACGTGCAGCTACTTCAGGAAAGCGAAAATGTTCAGAATCAAATGAAGGAGTCCACATCTACAGTACTGCAGGTAATTTCAACTAAGATCATGTACATGGTTGACAGGTTGTTATATTTTGAAGTCGACTTTAGTTTTCTAGGGTTGCTGTGTTTTCATGGGATATGTAACGTTTAAGTAAAAAAATTTGTCTATCCTTCCAGGGTATTATAGAGGACCTAAAATTTAACATATTTCACCCTATATATTTCAGTCTAAATAATATGTGAGTCTATAACTGAGCTTCGTAGTTTGTACTCAACAGTCATAAAAATTGCCGAAATTTACTAAATGACGTAGAAAATGCAACACCGACTAGGAGTGCTGTAATTTTGAGCACACGTTTACAACCATAGACTAAAAAAATTGTTCCAGTATATCGAATCCTCTGAAGCCTGATCACTGCCCGTGTTATGTTTTTCCGATATGTAGCTCCCTAGTAGCCCGATGGCCGTAGAAAACTCGTAAAGTCATTGGACCGCAGCGGCGACTCTGAAAACCCATAAGAGACAATGATGCTGTCATCCGTTACTGAATTGTCTACGTTTTTGAGGCTTTTGAGGAGCTACACATCGAAAACATAACAGTAGCACTTCAGAGAATCTGATGTACCTACTGAAAAAATTTCTTTAGCTCATAGTACATGTGGCAAAACAAATATGGACCAGCTTCACCTCAAACATGACAAATGCAAGAACTGAAAGCTAAATTAAGGCACTTGAATTGATCAGGATTATGAAAAATAGGCGTAAATTTGGAATAGTTAAGGGATTATTATTTGATCTACATTGGTTTGACCCACTATTTGTAAAGAAGTAAACGTTCTCAGACTCACGTTTAATATCAATTTAGAGATCCGAGAATACGGACAGGTTTCTCTAGTAATTTGTACGCGCAATGTACGATTATTACTTCAAGCTGGACACAACCTTCTTGTAGAGGGAAACTAAAAACAAAAACTATCTTGCCCTTTAGAGTACAACGAATATTACTGTAACGTACTATAAAGTTTTGATGATTAGTTGTTGAGTTATAAGCGATTCGATGTACAGGGTGCCTCATCTATTACTTTTTTTTCTATTTGAAAAATCAACACGCTTTTCACGAGGTGAAATCGATTTTTTTTATTGATAAATGAAGGTTGGTTTGTGCCATTTATGTATGAAAAATAACAGCAGTCATGTGACCATCGCGGCTTTGTTTACAGGCCAACATCCGAACATCAAAATTTTCAATGACTTTTCCCAGAATAATCTGGTCTATGGTCCGAATATTGCGCTTTAGGTCTTGAATTGTCCGGGGACCATTCGCATACACATTAAAAATCCCCAAAGAAAATAGTCAAGAGGTGTTAAATCGCACGATCTCGGGGGCCAACTGACATCTGAATTTCGTGAAATTATGCGGTCTTGAAATTTCGTGTGCATTAAGGTGATTGTTTGGCGAGATATGTGAGCCGTTGCTCCGCCTTGATGAAATCAAAGATCGTCGGCACCAATACGATCCAACTGTGGCCACAAAGAGTCTGTCAACATGCCGCGATAACGTTCCCCGTTGACGGTAATGGCCTTTTCTTTGGCATCTTCAAAGAAGAATGGTCCAGCGATGCCACCAGCCCATAATCCGCACCAAACAGTCACTTTTTCAGGATGGAGAGATTGTTCATGATATTGGTGTGGATTTTCAGCCCCCCAGAATCTGAAACTTTGCTTATTTACGTACCATGAGCCTCATCAGAAAATAGCACTTTGGCCGAAAATCGGTCTTCTCTTTCCAGCATCCAATTAACAAAAACACGCCGCTGTTGATGGCCTGCCGGCTTCAATTCTTGTATTAGTTGGATTTGGTATGGATGGAGGTGTAAATCAATGTGCAAAATCTGGCGTAAAGTGGTCTCACTAATTAACAATTGTTGCGAACAGTGCCTAGTCGAAGTGGTTGGATCTTCTCGCACACTTTCACTCACTGCGGCTATGTTTTCGCGAGTACGAGCTGGACGAGCATGTTGGTATGGTCTACGACCTTCATCTGAACCAGTTTCCTCAAAACGATTAACAATCCAACGAATTCCAGGCCCTGTAGGATGACCATGTCGGCCAAAACTAGTGCGAAGTTTGCGAAACGTATTTTTTATATTTCGACCGTTTTCGTAGTAAGTTTGGATAACCAAAATGCGTTGTTGTGTTGTAAACGAATCCATGACTATAAATGGCATACCTTTGACAGTCTGTTTATGCATACCACATGACTTTTGACTCACATGGTAACACATAAACTTATAGGTAAAAAAAAAGTAATAGACCCAGTACAAAGACGCTCAACATTGACAGGCTACCTGACCGCCATTTTGAAAGATAGTGGTCTTATGTACTCGCAATGAGCCTTAAAATACCTCCCATTTACATTCTATTCAAAAATTCGCGAACCCGCCATCTTGGAGTTTTCAACTGCCACTTTTATGCTAAAATATGGTTTCCATGCAACAATTTCACTACTGCAAAATTAAGCTTGGTAACTTGACTAATTCAAAAAATAAGTTGTACTGGTAAGTTTATGCTATTTTCTGTTGAAAGGCATAACAACTTCACGGTACACGTTGATCCTTTTATAGCGGTAGTACGTCAGATTGGACAAAACAAGGCGACTATACGTTTTTTACAGTTTGCTACTAGCAAAGTCAAAGTCAAATCAGTGTTCTTTCTAATAGTCTGATGGACTTCACGCGACTACATCAGATTAATATAAAACAAAACATTGTATTCAACGACAAGTTTCTGGTAGCCCAGATCAGTCACGAGCAGTGGACGAAATGAGTTCAGTGCATATCTGTTCGACTTCATATCGTTAATTTGATAATTGTTTGTTAATTTAATCCCTCATGTCATATTTTGCTACCAATCAACATGTCCATTCTTCGTAGCAGTTTTCAAACCAATCCGTACTTTCAGAACATTGCTTCCTACGACACGTACATAAAAAACATGTCTGACTCAATACTGGCCGAGCAGCTGCAATCAATACATGAAAAAATCTCAGGGATGAAAGCAAATCTGGGCAAACGGATCCAAAAAAGAAGCGCTGGAAGCTCTGAAAACACCAAAGACTTTTTAACAAAGTGCGTGATCAACGAAGACGTCTTGGATCGACTAGCCGATGAAGTCAACGAACAGATAAAGACGTGCTCCACTGTCGCCATGGCGGAAATGTCAAATGTCGTAAGTTCGAGCATGGCGGATGCGCAGGCGTTCATGACCTTGCCGAATGTCATAGGCAGTGACGTACAGCGGTGTGGGTTGAACAAGGAGTGCAGATGGGATATCGTACAACACAGCATTTGGAAGCACTGCAGGTAAGTGGTTGATATAGGTTTCTATCATACTTACCAACAGAGGTTGCCCAGAACGAAGCTAAGTGAGTGAGTAGGTCTTGACATATTGATTCATGCCTTAATGATTTTAGTCCAAGGCACGTTGAACAATGAAGAAAGTTATAGGGACTCCAATACAGAGGTACCAATTTCATTTCCCACGCATACTGACGAGAGGAAGTATTGTAATCGTGAAAATTTTCAAAATGAGATATTATGTTTTTTGGATGGTATATGACATGTGCTTCACGAAAAACCATGTCACTCATTTCCGTCGGTCTGTGTGTCTGGGCAGTACCGCTCGGATTTCGATGAAATGTTTACACAAGGTTACTACTATGCTAGGAACGATAAGTGTTGTAGTTTCTTAAAATCGGTCCAGTGGCGGCGGAGCTTAGAGCAAAAGTACGGAAAAAAATGGGACGCAAACTTGGTTTTCTAAATTTGAGGCTGTTGATTACTTTCAGAAAAAAATTTGTAGGGGTTAAAGGTTGCAGGTTCGAGGTTGTATGCGGTAGAAGAAAAGTGAACACAGTTTCTTTGCTAGCAGTTTACCTATATGCTTCCAACCCCGATAATTTTACTCACGTATCTCGCGCATCGTAGGATTCTCCAAACTTTTGTCCTTAAAACGATAGAAAATTGTTTTCAACAGACGCGTTGGATATCAGTCATACCGCTGACTCCATGGCCGGCATTAGAAATATTTATAGACGGGACGCACTGTCAGTCGGGATGAGAGCGACCTTTAGGTGCGAAACCTTGTCTGCGCCTGACTGCATCGCCGGCACTCTATTATAATATCGTGGTTGGCATCTATGGCATGGTTGGCTAGTCTGGATCAACACTGTTGCCAGATGCTTAGGGCACGGAAGAAACTAGCAGTAACGTTGACAAGTGGGTGGTAACAATGTAGTATGCGCCTGTTTGGCTGACTTGATCAATATAATTCGTTTGAAGTACTGAACATAATCCTTTATGAACTGACGATGCGTTGCGCGGAAAGTATAGAGTCTGTTTGTCTGTTGTTATCTATTGTCAATAGAGTGAGCCAGGCCCAGCTGAAATTTACTTAAATTTTGACAGCGGTTACTACATAGTGGCGGAGTGATGATTAAAATTATAAGTGTAATTACGAGCTTTATAACTGGATGAAGCTATGTGCCTTTCGAGAATCAATCCAGTGGACTTGAGGAAAAAGTTCCATAGTATTGTCATTGCAGATTTGTGAACATTCCAAAACATACTTTTGGATGGATCAATGTTTTCAAAATAATTCAGCTTTTTCAGCCTTAGGATTACTTTCGAACGTGCACAATAAATGGCTTAATAGATTAAGAATTTTTGATATAATATCAAAATCCTTCAATAGTTTAAAATGTACCCTGGTCTCTAGCTTTTTATAAAAGAGAAGTCTGTTACATTTTCACTGTATCACCAGGTCAATATTTATATAAAGTAATACTGACAAGATTTGCCACTTTGCAAATATCAAAACGTCACTGAAATCATCGCCTAAACATAGAACGGCCAAGACAAAGGTGTTTGACATTCAAATACCTGAAATGTTTTTCGTTCTACCTGGAATATTTCTATATCCAATGAGTCACTTAAAAAGAGTATAGTAATTGCAATAGACAATGATGTAAGAGATAACACAACCGACTTATATATGTCATGGAAATCTACTAAACACTTGTTGCGGACGCTATTCATTCAGATCTTCCAAAGTCTAAGGATTCAATAAATAACTTGCTGATAGGTTCTGTTGTAAGATAAAATCACATTTTTATCATGTTATATACCATTTCGTAAACGCTGTGGTAAATATGACTTTCGAGGAGGATTGACCCATTTTTTTTTTTGTTTCTGCAGCAGTTAAATAAATTGGGAAAGATAAGAGTTTCATTTTGAAGTTTGATGGTCTGCTTATACAATTTCCTCATCCAAAGCTAATGGAGGATTTTTCAGGGACTGGTTGTGGCTTTTAGCTTATCATTTCAAAGCGCTATTATTCAGCCTCATCAAAATATTCTATGGAGGAGTTACAATTACTTAGTTTCATTACAGATATAGCTAGCAGATTTTCGCACAAATTACGTTCAAACTGAGACATGATATTGGAATTTTTTTATTGTTTATTTTGTGGATGGACATTTTACGGGCTAAGTGGTAGAATAGCTTATGCTAAACTACGCCCAATAAAGATATATTATTATTATTATTATTGCCTGTAAAGACAGTGAATATATCATGTATCTTTGTGTGAAGAATACGAAATCCTGTTATCCTGTACCTGTCTATCTGTAGGGAATTGCTGACAACAGTTGCGAGAAAGCCTGTTCGTTCACCAATTACCTTTTGTTGAATTACAGACAATGCTGCATATAAGCCGCTTATTTAAACGGTATTTAGTAGTTCATGTAAATCAGAAATACCACGGATTTTTTTTAAATTTCCGCGGTAAACATCAACGCGCTCTAGAACATGCTTGCATATGTGTTGAGTTAATATTGTCATCTGACCTGGAAAATATCAGAATTACAAGGAAATGATATTCAGTGAGGAAATTCTGAACATACAGGGTTTGTCCGGAAAGTAATAGGACTCATTTTCTGCCGCCATGACTATACTTCGGTAGAGGGCGTTCCTAGCTATCGAATGAGCGGCTGGTCAGTTGTCTCCGAGCACTTGGAGAGTCAGGACAGGCATTTTCGCGCGACGTGTTTCTGTGAGTGGTGCAAGCCGAAAATGCAGCGGTCGTTAGAGCAGAGGTACGCGATTAAATTCTGTGTGAAACTCGGTAAATCTGCGAAAGAAATGTTTGATATGATCAAGCAGGCTTACCCAGATGTTGTTTTAGCAAGAAGTGGTGTGTTTCGGTGGCACCAGGCCTTTTTGGAGGGCCGGGAAGAAGTCGCTGATGAAGACCGTCCTGGAAGACCTTCGACTTCGACAAACACCGATAATGTGACTCGTGTGCGCAAAGTTTTGAACTCAGACCATCGACTAAGTATTCGTTTAATTGCCCAGATGTTAAATTTACCAAAATCTGTGGTTCATGACATTGCGACACAGCATTTGAACATGCACAAGGTGTGCGCGAAGATGGTCCCAAAAGTGCTCACTGACGACCAGAAATAGCGGCGAGTGGAAGTGTGCCAAGAAAATTTGAACATGTGTGAAAGTGACCCCCAATTTTTGAATAACGTAATCACAGGTGACGAGTCGTGGATCTTTGAGTATGATCCCGAGACAAAGAGGCAATCTTCCGAGTGGCACACGACGGCGTCTCCTCGCCCAAAAAAGGGAAGAATGAGCAAATCCAAAGTAAAAACGATGCTGATTGTCTTTTTTGACATCAAAGGAATCGTCCACCATGAATTTGTTCCTCCTGGACAAACCGTCAACGCCAAGTCTTACGTGGAAGTGCTCAGGAGACTCAAACGAAGGGTCAGTCGGGTCCGACAAGATGCGCCCGAGGGCCGATGAAAGGAAAGCTTTTTGAGACGACAGAGGGGATCCAAGCAGCATGCACCGCGGCTCTCAAGGCTGTTCCGGAGAGTGCCTTCCGTGACGCCTTCCATGCTTTGAAAGTCGCGCTGGCAGCGCTGCATCGACGAAAGTTTTTAAAGAATTGTAACGATTGGCTCAATAAATTTCTTTAAATCGACTCAGTCCTATTACTTTCCGGACAAAGCCTGTAGGTATATTTCAATTTCAGTATAGATTATACCTAATCAAAACTACTTTCCTTTGAGGACTCTAGGGCTTAGCCTTCTAATGATGGACAATCCGAACATCGTCATAGTTAAACTTCCGTTCTATAGGTATAGAGCTTTGTCGGATTTTGTTTTTTTGCCTCTAAGCAGGACGGAAAAGGATCGGTCGGCCAGTATCTGAGACATTGTCTAAGAACAAAGGAGTACCAGGACATTTAGAAATTATGTTGTTACGCATAATCAGTTTCTATGGGGTTTCTAAAGGAATCTAACCTTGATATTACTATTCCTCAAACTCCTAGATATCTTTGGAAAAATTAAAAAATACTGTTATCCTAAAGTTACTAGCCCTTCTAAATAATAATCACTAGTTTTTGTTCATTCATAAAGGATTATGTTTAGCATAAGTTAGACCCTATCCAAATAAGACAGCGCCATAGACCTGGTAATTGGCTATTGGCTATGCTTTCATTCCTTGACCCAGAGAAGCATGCCCAGGTCAAGCTGGTCAGTCGCCAAAAGAGCAGTTGACCATGGTTGGCATTCTTTGGGGATAAAAGCAAAATGTTTATGTTCGACCCTCTGGGAAACAAGTCAGTTACGAACATGTTCATCAGAGAAAATGCAATTAGTGCAACGACTTTTTTCGCTGCGCTACCGGTAGTACCATTTATACTTCAACGTCGCCTCTCCCCGCCAACTGATCGTACGACGTGTCAGACGCGGCATAGCGCCAGTTATGCCAGGTCACTTATATAGACAGAGAGCAGAAGTTTATCGAAAACAAATTCTCTGCCGCTTTAAGGGCAGTTGTACGGGTAATCAATGATGTGTGAAATATGTTTGATAGGATAGAATTACCGAGGTAGGAAGCGTATAAGTCTATGGACATCAAAGAACTGAGATATATCCTCTACCACACCTTACAACTATCAGCCCCCTCAAAGATTTTTCTAGAAATGATTAAGAACCTCTGAAACATGCAAGGATGAAGTTTGTATTACATCTGTGATTCTCAGCGACTCAATATTGCATTGAAATCTTTCTTCTATCTGAAGAATTTTCTCTTAAATATTGTTGGTCCCTCATAGACAGATTTGCCCATCGGCAACCAGCGCGCCATCTTATGATGTTTATACGTACTAGCCATATATGAATGTTTACCTTCCTATCAAGATACCGTCTTTACCGGCTTTTATCTGTTCCTTTCGATATTCTGTCGGACGTGTTTTCTTTCGCGGCAACTTATTTAACCTTTCTTTTTACTATTTTGGTCACTTAAGAGTAATTTGAATTTCTCTTCATTCTCTGCACCACGACCTCAACGGAAACAGAAAAGCGAATCCCACAGACCACGTAACGTTCTAGAAGAAGGTATCTTGACTGGACTTGAAGAAGATATGTTTTATAGGACAATAACTCGGAGAAAAACTATAGAGTTTTTTGCTGATCGCCAACACCATACTGAATCGCTGAGAAAGAAAGATATAATACGAGTGAAATTATATAATCAATAAACTATAAAATTTGCCAAAATAAAATCATTGAAAAGGGTTTGGCCTAGGAATGGGCATTCTATTATCAATGAAGAGAAATTCAAATTACAGATAAGTGATAAATAGCAAAAAAAGGTTGGCACGTGACAGCAATTTTAAGCTTCTGGCCTTTTTCGCCCCCATTACAAAAATGACATGATTTTCTGTAACGCATGTGCCATATAGAGCATCCAAGAAACATAATGTCCCATTTTCGATTCCCATTTCAACGAAACGTGCAAACGAACGTAACTTGCAAATGGATGGACGAGAAGTATAAGGTCTACCTACTAGCTGGCCTCCATCCTTCCCTGACTTTGATACCGACTTTTTGAAAGCGGAACCGCTTGATACAGATTTAGTCTTTTTAACTCTTCTAGATTCTGCATCTAAAATAGTAAGTTTTTGTTGCAGGTTCCACCAAAGATATACTCACTCACAGCCAAGATACAGTCACTGGTACTGAAGACAGTGATCTCAATAGACTCCTGTGGTTTGAAAGGACTACGAAATATCGGAGAAGTCGGGGTGCAACTCATGCAGGATGTTTACAATTGTATCATGGATGAAGTAGAAATGGCAAACTAGATCCGACTAAGGAATGGCATTTGTAACGTCCATGAAAAATAAACTCAAAATGAACAAAATTTTACATTTAGGCACTATTTATTGAATGTTTACGCCATATTGTGATGAAGTCGTGGTTTACGACTGATGACTATTACCGCACCCAGTATTACCTTTTGTTATTATTTTTATAGACAAATTTCAATAAATATCTATAATATTGTAATTACTTATTTGCTATACTTATGTAATACTGGATCCCTTGCCGTCGCAAGTACAAGTGATACACAGTTTCACAAACAGGTCCCTTTGTCGAGGATCTAGAATTGTTGAGCGGTAAAGCCGGGTAGTATTTGAGCTTATTAACTACTGGATATCTTTCTGTAACTATTTGCATGATCCAGTGGAAATACAAGCAAACACGTCAATAACATGTATATATTTATATTGTATGTGTGGAAAGTGCGATATTGCCCAATCGAGTGTTAAATCTGACTAGATAAAGATTATATAGCTGTGCAAAGTTAGCACTGGGTAAATATCTCTGGAAAACAGGAGCGAGAGTAGAATGTAGCAAGCTTTTATACTGGGTAAAGATAATAACATTGGGATAGGTATGAAGAGTTGAATCGTTCGTAATAAAGTATTTAGTAGCTCGCATCGCTGGTCTTCATCGAAAAAAGGTCACAAATCAGCTACGTATTTCATGCAGTTCAAAAAGTTTTACGGATATACAGAATATATCTCAGGCGCTGTTACAACACTGAATTTATTATTATTTAGAAAAAATCAAACATGACATAAACGAAAGAGAAAATTAATGTTATATAGTACTTTTCTTTAACGTCCCCTCCCCTTTGACCTTTTGAACGGATGAATTCAAAAAATTAAAACTTGTGGTAATGAAATTGATGCGTGGATACCATATCTTAGAGTAAAATTGACAGATGAAAATGTCAAGATGGCCGCTGGGCGCCATCTAGGAAAAAAATTATATGAAAACGACGGTCTTGTGGCACATCATTTTGAAGCTCCTGATGAGTACTTTATAACCCTAGAATATAAAGTCAATACCTTCACCTACACCAAAATGATGGTATATCTAATAATTACTTAAACACAAACCCACTGACATGCATAACTTTACAAATAATTGTAATTCCCTGCCGTATCCACAGCAACAGCGATAAAAACTTGTTTTGTTATTTTTTGTTGACAGTGACAAGAATATCAGTACGAAAACAAACATCATTGTGCTGTTAAATATTCCTATTTAGTTTTCGGTTTTAGTGCTAGATACTGTTTGAACTATTTTCAAAATGGTCCATTGGAACAAAAAATCAAAGCGATTTTTATTTATGGTGCGACGCGTAACTTTCACGAGACCAAAAGGATCTTTAATGATCGTTTCCCGAATCGTCCTATCTGTAGAAAATATTTAAGGGAACTTGTATCTAAATTTACAGCTACTGGTAGTGTAAACAACAAGATGCCCCCAGGTCAGCCGACCATCCCGAAAGAAAAGCAAGCTCAAATAATTGATCAGGGTCATATTCATCCCCAACAGTCTACTTCCTCCATCGCGAATGTACGTGAGGTTTGTCCTTCTACTGTATGGAGACTTTTGAAGAAGAATAAGTGTCACCCTTACAAAATTCATATGGTACATCAGCTAACTGAAGATGACCCTGATCGAAGAACAGAGTTCTGCGAGACTATGACAGAAACCACTACACGGCATCACACCTATATCCAAAATATTTTTTTTAGTGATGAATGTAAATGTTTTCTCAACGGTAATGTGCATAGACAAAATTGTCGTTATTGGAGTGACACCAGTCCTCACGTCTTCCGGAAAACTCAATCTCAATATCAACAAAAAATTAACGTTTGGGCTGCGATATTGGGAAATCATATTGTGGGGCCTATATTCATCGAACAAACTTTAACCGGGAAACTGTATTTGGATATGCTGGAAAATATTATTGACCCTCTAACCACCGAAATCGTCGAAGCGAATCCTAATGAATTTGATACTGATATTGTATTCCAGCAAGATGGTGCTCCACCACACTACTACTCGTACAGACAAGTTAGGAATTATTTAGATAACAACTTCCCCGATCCTTGGATTGGCCGTCGAGGTCCTGTGGAATGGCCAGCTCGCTCACCAGATTTGACACCTTTAGACTTTTTTTATGGGGCTATTTGAAGCAAAAAGTGTACGAAACTGAACCTGTTTCAATATTGGATATACGGCTGAGAATAACAAATATTTGTAGAAATATTGATGTTACTATGTGTGAAAATGTTCGATGCGAAATTACTGACCGGCTGTTATTGTATCAGGAAGTTCAAGGCAACCATTTCCAGCATCTTCTAAACTGAACTCAACGTATTTATTCGAATTATCAAGTTAAATGTTAATGTATTCAGGTAATTATTAAATGTACCACCACTTTGTAGTAGGTAAAGGTATTGACTTTATATTCTAGGGTTACGAAGTACTCATCAGGGGCTTCAAAATGATGTGCCACAATACCCCCGTTTTCATATAATTTTTTTTCCAAGATGGCGCCCAGTGACATTTTCATCTGATAATTTTACTCTAAAGTATGGATTCCACCCATCAATTTCATTATCTCAAGTTTTAATTTTTTTAATTGATCCGTTAAAAAATCAAAGGGGAGGGGGACATTAAAAGAAAAACACTGTATAGCCTATTCATCCTCAGCCTGTTCAGTATTTTTTTAATGATTGAAATTAACATGTTTACTTTCCGTCTCTGTTATCCCGACAAATCGCAGACAGTGCTGTTTCGTGCTCAATAGTAACTCATCAGTGCGGTATATACCCAGTAGTTCTGAAGACAGATGAACGGAAAGCAAACAAGTGGGTATGGTCGTTTGAAAATTTCAAAATGCTGTGCGGAGTTATGCGAAAAATCTGACGTTCTCTACCTACCAATAGTTTGCCAAATTGGTGTTCATCTTCATCCCATACAGTATGATATCGGAAGACCCCTTTTGGTGGTACGACATCTATCTGTGCACTGAGCGAACATCGAGCAGAAGTGATATTTTTCCGCTTTTTGGAAAATCATTTTCTTATTATTACTTCGTATACCAGTGGCGAGGACGTATTTTAATCGCGAAAATTCTCGAAAATGAGATGTTATTTGTTAGGGCATGTACACAACGAAAACACACTGGTCTCATTCCGGGCTGTCAGATTGTGGAGATTTGACACAAGGTTACTAGTTATTAAGGACGAAAAAACTTCGTTGCTTTTCAAAATCGGTACAGAAGCTAAAAACTGAAAATAAAAATTGCTGATACCTCGTCTTTTTATCTCATAAGCTCTTGACCATTTACATGTTTGTAGTGGTTAAAAATTGAGGGTTGGGGATTGTAGGAGGTGGAGGAAAGCATGTCTCCACTTAACACATATATACGCTTTTAACCGCTAATTTCATACACCTATTAGTTGATATTGCACGCCTCATAAATTTCATTGTACCCGCAATATAGAGAATTATCTTCAACAAATGTGTCACAGAGCAACACTACGAACATAATACGAAGTTCGCCAATTTTGCCCTAATCGACAAGCACGAAAGTCGCTTCAAAATAAAGTAATCTCAGAATCCTCTTCGGACTCTGTCGAACAGGGTTCTGACTTAAGAGACTTTGATGATCGAAAAATTATAATTCTTAACCGAGTTCTTAGGCATCGAATAATATTGTATCGTGTAACTCGAAAACGGTCAACTTTAGTGAAAAGCTGTCAGATAGCTTTTTGTTAAGAATGAAAAAATCTGGGAAAAAGTTGTCAGGGCGTAATGAAACTTTCTGGTATTCACTTGAAAAAATTGTTTAAACAAACTTGACTCTGGTTACCGAGCGGCTACTCCTTGTTTCGTGTTAACAAACGTGCGAAAGCTTCTTTCGCGAATGTGAAGCTTTTGCCTAAAATTCCTTCTAGCGCTACAAATTACACCATCGACATAGCTGCTGCAACTGCACTGTCATAAGTTACGAGAAAATGTATTTTTTCCGCACAAACCATTTTTTCCATGTTCTATAGATAATTCCGAACAAAAAAAATGTCTTTAGCAGCTTTTATCTAAAGCTCACCGTTTTGGGATTATAAGCGATTTAATGTCTGAAAACACTGATAATGAGTACATATATATGCAATGCTCAAAACCTAAAAACTCGAAACTTATAATTTTAGTTGCAGGTTGCAAAATGTCCAATTCTAAGCTAAAACCTTGCTCTACAAGACCCCGAAGATTATTTTAAGATTTCTTTATTTTGAAAAGACTTGTAAGCTGATTTATTAGGCCAAATTTGGAAAACTTCTGATTTTCACACAGGACATAGAACCCTGTCTGCATCTGACCGCTGGTGCTGTTTAGCAACATTGCCAGATGGCGGATCCTGTCGGTAGGAAAAAAATTAAATCGCAGCATTATCAACTAACTTCTTTGTTATTGTTCGTAGCTAATTTTTTCCTCCTAGGGAAAGCAGAATCGGCCTACTAGACGCCATTTTTTATCATAATAATTGGATGAAGTCTTTCTGATAGCGTATTATATATTGCTCGGTAGGGGGACTTTTTATTGAATTAGCCATAAATAGACCAGACAGCAGTAATTATCGGAAGAAAGTCTATATCCATAGGCGGTTTTGCCCTCCGAGTAATCTAACCCTAACTTTTCCCTCTACCATAAATTGGCATTGATTGGGATATTTTGGAGGATAGCAATAATCTAAACATTCTATACTGGAAAATTCCAACGATTCTACCCTGAAAGAAACATATACGCAAGCTAGAATATAAAAACAAACTGAAATTACAGAAACCAGAATATTTTAGTAAAAGAATACAACGAATAATCATTCAACAAAAAAATTACAAACATCCAAATGGAAAGAAGAAAAAATAAACAAACAATAATGCACATAAACACGAGAGACGAGACTGACAGATCCAGTTAAAATTGCAAATTACTTTTGTGAATACTTTGCAGCTCATAATAAATAAATCTCTAAATGAATTGAAAAATGAGGATGCGGGTGGACCTAATGGGCTGCCCATAAGAGTACTAAGTTCATTCATTACTTTTTATTATCTCTACTCACATATGTATTTTACTTATCAGTTGCAACTGGCACCTTTCCGGATTTGTTGCAAGTAGCTGTAGTGTTGCCTGTTCACAAAAAACGAAGCACTGAACACTTGGAGAATTACCACCCCATAAAATCACCGTCTGCCTTCTCAAAACTACAATACTACTACTAATAGTTTATAATGGAATGTACGCTTTTTCGAATGAGCACAATGTTTTGTTAAACAACGCGGTTTTCGAACTAATAACTCAACAAAAATTCGTAAATAAAATTAAAGACTATGGTTTCAGAAATCCGATAGGTCATTGGATTCTGTCATTTATGTCAAAAAGAAAAATTCAGGTTATGCTGCACTATGTCTAATTCACATGACATAAACTTTGGAGTACCTCAGGGTGGAGTGCTATCACCGTTTCTGTTTTTGTTATTTGTGAGCGATTTAGATGAACACCTAATTGATAGTAATTGTCCTCTTAGTAACATTTACTGATGACACAACTGTAACAGTATCAGCAAGGCCGCTAGAGGATGTAGAAGGTACGGCTAACATCATGATGCAGTTTTCAAAAGTGGTAGTATTAAATAGGTTAC